GTCCACATACGTAGGAAGTATAACATTATTATTAACATTAACTTGGTTTGGTGATTATACTATGTTAAATAGACTGCCTCCGTGATCGAACGGTTACCATTCTGGACTGCCACGCAGAGGTCTCGGGTTCGATTCCCTGGCCGGGAGAAGTATATGTATGACCTATATCTATTTCTCTCGTGAGTTTGGGTGTAATTTGTGGTTGTCTGTGTGCGTGTCCATGGCACCCGCGACACAAGGTTTCCCTAGCGCGCGGGGCTATGAGTGTGTGCTACAAAAAAAAGAAAACATACATATACGTATACATATCATCACGCCTGTCTCCTACCGGAGTAGTTGGAGACTATGGACTACTACTTGCTACGCTCCTGACAGTCCTCCTTCGCCTTCTCTACTTCCAACAGTTTCTTCATACATGCACTTTTGGAGGATTTGGACGATTTTTTAAGGACACACCAATCGGATTAACCGAGGTCTACTTCTCCCCACGCCAAATAACAGAATGCCGAACGGTATAGTAAGAGAGCGTTGCGGTATGAAAGATGATGTAGTAATTACTGTCAAATGAATAATACTCGACCAAATTAAAACACACATGATGCGAATGAAGCTTGTCTTTTATATTGGTAGAGTATTACTTATTTGACAGTAATTGTTTCGGACGATTGTCAGTCGGGGAACGAGAATAGACCCCCAGGATATGCCCAGGATAGAAACATTCAAATTCAAATTCTTATTGCGTATCATGTTGCACAAATGTAGTTGTTAAAATGTTGTTATGAACCAAAAATGAGCACTGCAAAAGCACTGCAATCTTAAAAATTAATTTGAATTACAAAATAATTAAATACAAATAAAATAAGGCAAATTAAACATATTAAATAAATTATAAAAATAAAATGAATTCAATTAGGCATATGAAAATTGATGAAATAAAATTCCAAAAATAAACATTAAATGAAAAAAGGATAACAATCGTGATACCAATAAAATACTAATTAATTATTTTAATATTCCTGAAGTGAGTAAAAACACTTTCGAATTAGGTACATTTTTAACATTCTTTTAAATTTAATTACATTTCCTGCAGCTTTAATATTATTGGGCACGTTCATTTTCTTACAATTGTATGGACGTCGGGTCCGCGCTAAAAAGTGTCCGCACTTGTAAGGCGCTAAAATCGTATACAGAGCGCGACACTCCGCTTTAGTCTTCATTTGTTCTACTGACAGCGCGATACTGCGATGACATTACAATTTAAATTTCGAATAGGTTGACTTGGGACATTTTTTTCGTGGTTTTTGTATTAGACCCGTCGTCCATTTATTTGTAAGTCAATGGGTACGTTGTTATAAATTTTCACTAATATTGCTAAGGGGCCACTTCGAAACATTTCAATTTTATATGTGGACTTGGCAAGCCGTGTTTGTGGTCTTAAGTTTTGAGACGGGGATGCTTCGATTGTTTGGTCATGTAGAAAGAATTAATGTTGGTAGTTTGATAGTACAAATTAAATAACATAGTACAACTATTGAAAGCCTCAAAATATACACGGTCTGCTACGGATGTATATCACCGGTTGACCTTATAGACTATATACCATGTTATTAATGTTTGATACAGGTATTTAGGCATGATCTTTACCTGTACGATAGTTCAGGGCAGTGAGGGGTAATATCTATTATGCTATTTAGATCCAAAATGTGGTTTAACTAGGTTAATACCTCGAATAGGTAATTTGTTTTTGTCGAGGCAGTTTTGTGTTCAGCGTAATGGCATTTATTTCCGCTTTGTGGATGGAAATTGTGTCAAGTGTTTATATTATCGATAAATAGAATCCCCTACAGTTAAGTTTTCATATCTGTGAATGTGAATGGTTTGTTCATAACTCGATTTGCCGTTTTATTCCATTGGTTATTTGTTTTTTGATCGCCTTTTTTATGATTCCGAGTGATGCGACGAATAAGTCAAAACAACAGTGGACCTGGTGGTTAGCGACATGCCTGTCGATAACAATTGCAGTGCCACTCAAAGTTTTAAAAAACAAAGATTGGAGGGCTATTGGCAATGCGCCTGTCACCTTGAGATATAAATTGACAAGTCCCCTGTGCCTGTAATTTCACCTCAAGCGCCCAGTTACACGAAAAGAAAGTATTCGCGCGGCCGCCGCGCGGCGACCGCCCAGTTACCACGCCTTCATGTACATTAATGGCGAATTTGAATTCTGTTTATTATGCAACAACATTTAAATACCTCGTAATAAAATTACCTCACGGGCCGCCGCGTAGACCAAATTCAAGCCAGGCTAGCCCGCGTGAGAAGGCGAAGGCAGTTCGCTTGATCCCCTAGTGAGACCAGCGGGCTTTGGACAGGGACGCCGGAGCCTGCATTGCACGGCCTCACTCGTCTGGGGGGCGGGTCGGATGACAACCGACTCGCCCCTCCATTGGCGCGGGAGCCCTGGCGTAAGCTAGGGCGGCCGGGCGGCGTCGTGGTGAATGTTCAGTGATCCCACGGCGCCGACTCAACCGGCGAGAGGGAAACCCGGGGGGGTTTTAGTGGGGTAGGCCCTCCAGTTTGGAGGGAGAGTGCCCACATAACCCCTGAGTCTCCCTGGGCTCAGGGGCATCCATAAACATTTCTCCCCGTCAAAAAAAAGGCTAGCCCGCGTACTCGGAACGCTCATTTAAATTTAAAACGTAAAAGCTAAACAAATAGAGCGTATTTTGCCATGACAGTTAGGCAGCAACGCGAATTCCGCTCTTAGATCGCGCGGCGGCCGCGCGGGGTGAGAGCGACGAAGTTCGTGTCGAATAAATGCGCCCTTACGCGATTTTATGCGACGAACTCTTTTACAAGGAGCTCTTCCGCTACAATACTGTCTTGGTATTTTTAACTGACTTCAAAAAAGGAAGAGATTCTCAACACGATTGTACTTTTTTTGGTGTATACATTACGCGATTATTCCGATACTTGTGAACCGATTTCGATAATGTTTATTTTGTTGGAAAGGGGATGCCTCAGTATTGCTCCCATTCAAATTTAAAGAAAATATTCCACCACTGAGGGTACCAAAGATTTCACCACTTTTCGTTAATCGATTCCAATAAAACTTGGCAAATGGATGTAATTCCACAAACTTTAGAGGTAGTTTTTTATAAAAAAGTTATAATTATTAACTAGTATGGTTTATATGTAATATGTATATGTAAATACAATATCTTTCTTATTATATAACTTTAGTCCGTAACTTTTATAAAGCACACGGCAATGTTGTTTGTTTATAAAATCGATGCCTGATTCACAACTGGGCCAAGGTGAAGGAGTTTACTTCCCTTTGCTTTTGAGGGAAGGATGAGTTGTGTCGGCACATTTCGTTAGTCACCTTTGCTATTTATATCCCCTTTTCCCCTTTCCCCTTCTTTTTTAGTTCGCATAATTTTTTATAGCATAAATTATCGACTTCTTGGGTTTTTGCTATTATTAGGTACACATTGGAAATGTAACTATTTTTTATTATCCAGATTTAAATCGCGTATTTATTTAACTTCGTATATAGTAGTAGATAGTCTTCATATTAAATAGACAGATCCGAGCGCCTCTGAGTTTTAATTTAATTTGACATTTATCATGAGCTTTTCGGTGAAGGACAAACATCGTAATAAAACCTGCACGTCGAAGAAGGTTCACAACTCTCGCAAAACGTGTTAAGTAAATCCTCAACCTGCATTGAGCCAGCGCGGCGGGCTGTGGCCTAAACTATCACCTGAGAGGAGACCCGTGCCCAGCAGTGGGACGTATGAATAGATTGAAGTTGTGTATTGAACTTAAAATCAGTGCACACGAGTAGTAGGCAGAATAGATCACACTGTTTATTGTCTACATTCAGTTCATCAAGTATGTAAACAGAAATAGAGACGAAATGTCATTTAATTTGTTTGAAAACTATTCTGCCAAATCATTACTGTGACAACTGCGCTCTGATTGGTCAGCCCGAATTCGAAACAATAGACGCGAGTTGTCAATTGTTTCACTTCAAAATGACCAGTATAATATCATTTCCAACGAAAATAAATATGCATGTTGTACATAACAAAATATTAAAAATACACATGGTATTCGGAACAATTGACGATACCCGTCAATTGTTTCGAATGCGGGCTGGCCAATCGGAGCGCATCACCGTAATGATTTGGCAGAATAGTTTTCAAACAAATTGAATGTTTGAAAACTATTCTGAAACAAATTGAATGAAACATTTCGTCTCTATTTCTGGTTTCTGGTTTCGTCTCGATTACTCGATGTTCATAGGTAATGTATACGTTTACTAGAAGAAAGTACAACATATTTACGTAGGTATACGAATCTTTGTAATGTTTATTTTTTTATTTCGTACATACAGCTACTTTTATAGGATTGTTGTGGATTGCTCAATTTATAGAAAATCAAAATTTTGGTCATGATCTGCCTAATTGCGTTCCACACGGACCCCTATTAACGTTTCAGGCACCTCCGTTTTTTTCATTCAAAAAAGCCTTTTTCTTTCGCTGACATGGGGCTCATGTCAGCGAAAAAAAGGCTTCGCGATTAGAGTGAACCTTGGGGGAGTTAAATGACAGTAACAGGCCTATTATTTTTCTTATCAATATTACAATAATTACAATATTATTGTAGTAATAATGCTATAATATTATTTTACTAGCAGGAAAGCTCCTTGTGAAAGAGTACGTCCAGGAGTTCTTACTTCAAGCAGTAATGTGAGCATGACTGTATTACGGTTTCGAAGGATAGGGTGCTGGTGAAATTACAGGCACATGGGACTTGCCAACTTATGTCTCGGGGTGACGGACGCACTGGCAGCGCCCTTCAGATATTTGCGATTTAAAGCTCTGAGTGGCACTGCAACTGTTATGGACAGGCGTGTCGCTTATCACCAGGCGCACGACTTGTTCGTCCCGTCACTTCGTACAAAAAAGCAATTAGAAACATTATTTCTCTAGATGGTTGCAGTCACAACCGCGCGTGGCGTTATTATGCGGAGTCGCTGTACAATCCCACGGGGTTCCCGGCTACACTGTGCCGGGATTGGAAGTCTCGAGGCAACAACTGCAACTTTCAAGTCCACGGACATATGGGCGTTGGTGCAAGAAGGCCGTAAGTATACGTGTATTTTACAAATTTTGCAAAGAAGTATCCGGTGAAGTATGGGGTACGGGGTACGGGTCTTCGTGGTTTAACTGATAATATTCTAATACAGTCATATAATAATAAATTTCGGAATAAAATATAACAAATTCTAAGGCTTTCGCCATATTTCTTCGGATATAAATCGCAATTATGTTTATTTTTCCAAACCTCAAAGTGACAAACGAACCTTTCGGGGCATTTTACATGTCCCATGGTCACGGCTGTTTTATTCGAACAAAATATGTATATTATAGAGTCGAAAAAATAATTTCAATTCCTATAAACTGTATTATTATAATATCAATTTCGTAGCACGCATTCTTGTAGCAGCAGACCTCCTTGTGAAAAAGTTCGTCCAGGGAAGTACTGCCACCTCACCTGTTTCTGCCGCCAAGCAGTAATATGAGCATTACTGCGTTCCCGTTTTAAAGGGTAAGGGTGCTGGTGAAATTACAGGCAAATGAGACTTGTCAACGTATGTCTCAGAGTGACGGGCGCAGAGGCAGTGGCCCTCAGATCTTTGTGTTTTAAAGCTCTGAAGGCATTGCAACTGTTATGGATGTGTCGTGTCGAGGTGTGTCGTTTACCGTCAGGCGCACGACTTGGTCGTCCCGTCACTTGGTATGATAAACAAAATATAATTTATATGAAACTCAATGATATTGCTTACTCTTTTGATTTGTTCCTGGAATTTAAACATACTGTAAAATGTATTTACAAAATATGTTTATAATTTTTGTGAAAAAAATAGCGGGTTTTTGTAGTTACAATTTTTACATGAACTATTTAGTTTCAGTATATTACGTTTTGAGTTCTTAATTATTTGTTACCTTTTTTCTTTACTATTGCAGTGGATTCGTTTTATTTGGATTAACTTTCTAATAATTTTCTTCTGAAAAATCTCACTGACCTGCCTTTTTTAACGTCAACTCAACGCAAAGCTTATCTAAAGTATATCTTAATACTAACTTCACTTCGTTCCCCTTCCTCCAATTACCCATCAAGATCCTGACAGCATTTAACCTTTTCTCCTCACTGATTGTTGCCATCAAAGGTCTCATAACACTGGCCGAGTCAATATTTGCGGTCGTTTTATAGCCCCGACGAAAGAGCACGTTCGTTCCATGAATCTGATATACGCAGATTTAGGGTAGTAACTGACCGAATGCTCCACGTTTACGGTATTTTTAGACATTACAGCTGAAATTGCATATTTCTGAGATGTAACTAAATATCTGTGATACATATCGCTGCTTTTTAAGAATACAGTGTCAAAATCTTTGAGGTAATAATAGTGCATATTAAATTATAGGCCTTAATGTGCCCGATCTAAAATAGTTTTTTTTTACTTATCACTGAGATTTGTTAATAAATACTAAATTTTACTGTGTTTGTGGCACCGATTACAATAATCACAAATGACAATGTATGGATGGTCTACGATATGTAATGATTTTTAGATGCTGTTCAGAAGTTTTCTTTCATTAAGATGTTTTCCTTCACCGAAAAGTTTATGGCAAATTAATTGAACTGTTGTCTTACGGGGCTTTTTTATGGTACCAAGGGACTGGACGAATAAGTAGAGTGCCTGGTGGTAAGCGACACGCCTGTCAATATAGTTGCAGTGTTGTTCAGAGCTTTATATTGCAAATAACTGACCTGTCACCCGGAGACATAAGTTGACAAGTCCTATGTGGGTCTATTTTCACTAGCACTCTTCGTTTATTCCTAGTAGTTCCATGTACTCAGTTCCATGTGGAACAATTGTAACCTTGATATGTCACATTTATTCCCATTTTGTTCCATGTAATTATAAACTATTTTTACACCTGACTTTTCTTCCTCATCAGATCTTTACAAGTTCAACCCCGCTCTTACTCTTCGAAACCGAAACTCATTAATGCTCACGTTACTGCTTGGCGGTAGAAATAGGTAAGGTGGCAATGCTTCCTTGAACGAACTATTTGACAAGGAGTACAACAGTTCCTTGTGGATAATAAAGTAATTTATTTTTATTTACAGGATGATCGGGAAAATGTTTTTGGAGACGAACGAGAAACCTCCCTTCGCGAAAAATGGACCATAGATATTTACTTAAAACATATTTATTACGTAATAATTGAGTGCCAATACATCATCGTTTGTTTTTCGTTATGTTCTACATATTCGATTTAAATAATGTTACAATTTTTTAAAGTGTTACAAAATTTGTAAACATCGTGTTTTACAGACAGCAATAATTGTTGAAAACGATTACGTTAAATGTAATAGGCATTTATCCAAATGGTCGTAGTGTCTGGGTATGTGGAAATTGTTTTGTGCCATCGGCATGACGCAGCCTTTGTAGCGTTCTGAGCAATACCAATCCCATGCTACCTTCACGCGCCTCTGCAGATATATGAAAGCCGTGTCCAGTTCATCCAGTTCGAATTGACTAAGGTTAGGTGGGAAATCAAATTTCTTGCAGATGCCCTCTTTGCTAAGTAGCATGTCTACAGCCATAAACCTGGAATAAGTATAATATGTACAATCGTATTTGTCTCAAGTAATATAGGAAATTTTTGGACCGATGTTTCAGAGAAATGGGTCAATCAACTTTTTTTTACCGACGCGTGACGCTGTGGTAAAAAACAACAATTTCATAATCCTAACCTGTATTGATATTCGTCATATCCTGGTTTCATATCGTAACATCCGCAGCGATATTTGAAAGTATTATTGAAAAATTTAAACTTCCCCCTAACCAGGTTTCCTACTGCGTTAACAGAATTTTTTACGATCTTATGGCAATACAAATACAAAAATGCTTTATTTCTCTCAGAATAATTAATAATAAATAAATAATGCGTACACACTACTACACATTTATAGCCCCGCACTAGGGAAACCCTGTATCGTGGGTGCCATGGACACACATATACACAACCACAAACTATACCCAAACTCACGAGAGAAATAAATGTAGGCCATACAAATATTTCTCCCGGCCCGGGAATCGAACCCGGGACCTCTGAGTGGCAGTCCAGCATGGTAACCGTTTGGTCACGGAGGCAGTTAAGGTCCTAAGGGACCTTTACTATTTTACTATTTTTTTTACTATAGAGTAAAGGTCTATAGTAGTAACATCTCATATAAAATGTTCCTTACACAGATCTTAACAAGATATGTGTGTGTGTGTGTGTGTGTGTGTGTGTGTGTATGTGCGTGCGCGTGCGTGCGTGTGTGCGTGTGTGTGTGTGTGTGTGTGTGTGTGTGTGTGTGTGTGTGTGTGTG